TACATGCGATCTCTCCTGCACTGGTGCTGGAAATGTGAAGTGGTGATAGCGTGTGGCCCTTTCTTTAAAAAGCTAAGCATGAAGTTTCCATGCATCTTGGCAGGGCACTGTTGGACATTTATCCCAGAGAAGCGAAAATTTATGTTCACACAAAGACCTGGACAAATACTCGCAGCAGTTTTATTTGGGGTGGCTCTGTCATAGTCACTTTCTTACCGCGGAGACACTGCCTGGCACCCACAACACAGAGGAGGGGACGTGGTTCCAGCTCGGGCTTTTGGTCTGTGTCAGGGGCTCCAGGGCAGGAAAGACGCAGCGGGAGGGCTCGGCGGAGGCTGGCCGCCAGGAAGCAGAGAGCAGACACAGAAAGGAGGCGCCTGGGGAAGAGATGCGCCCAGCAGGCCACGCCCCCAGCGACCCACCTCTGCTCAGCAGGCCCCACGCCTAACATCACATTTAGCTACAGCGCCTCCGAGATGCACTCGCCTTGCAGAAGTCCCTCTCTGAGTGCTTGAGGCTCTGGGGGGACATCCAGATATACACATAGCAAGCTCTAGATTGGAAGCAACTCAGATTTCCTTTCAGAGACGAGTGAGCGCTGGTGGATCTGTGCTGTGGGGGTCTACTCCACAAAGAGAAGTCAATTACTGATACACATAAGAACTTGGATGGGTCTCAAAGAAATCACGAACAAAGCCATGCAGGCTTCGTGGGCCCATTGGTGTGACTCCCTTGCAGCGGCAGATGGCAAGCAGGTTAACGTCGCCAGGTTTAGAGGTGGTGAGGGGGAGAGGCAGCTGTTGCTACACTGTGTCTTCATGGCAGTCACTGTCAGCAAACCTACACACCTGCTACAAGCATGTAGAGCTGGATACACACACGTGCGTGCACACGCACACGCGATGCCTTAAATTAGGACCGTCAGAGTAAGGCTGATGGTTACATCGAGGTTAATTTCCTGGTTGTGAAACGGCTCTGTGTGCATTTCACAAGATGTTTCAGCTGGGGAAACCTGGTGATGCGCATGTGGGATTTCTCTGTTGCCTCTCACAATGGCATGTGAACCTACAGAATAAAAGACTAAAGCACATGCAAAATTCACATGAGCTTCTGCTCACACCACATGCAAAGTTAATTCCAAATGGACCCACAATGTCAATGTAAGAGCTAAAATTACACAATTCTTAGATGAGAGCATAGCATAAGTCTTCAGGACCTTAGAGCAGGCAGTGGTTTCTTAGATATGTTGCAAAACTAGTATGTGTCACCCCCAAATTAAAAAAAAAAAACTATTTCATGCTTTAAAAACTATGAAAAACTACTTTATGCTTTAAAGCATACTATCAAGAAATTGATTTTAGTTTAGTGCATGGTACTAGACATGGGTCTAGTTTTAGTCTTTGCTGTATGGAAATTCAGTTTTTCCAGCACCATTTCTTAAAGAGGCTAGCTTTCTTCCAGTGAACATGTTTGGCTCCTCCGTCAAAGACAAATGCTTGGCTGAGTGTGTTTGGAGTTGTTTCTGAATCTTCTAATCTGTTCCACTGATCCTCGGGCCTGTTTTTTTTTTTTGCCAGTACCATAATGTTTTTATCACAGTACCTCTGTAGTATAGCTTCAAATCAGAGATTGTAATGTCCCTTGCCTTGCCTTTGTTGCTGAGAATTGTTTTTGCTCTTCTAGGTCTCTTCTGGTTTTAAATGAATTTTAGGAGTGATTTCTCTAGTTCTTTGACCATGAAAATGGTATTTGGACTGGGCTTTCATTGAATCTGTATAACAGTTTTGGGAGTGTGGCCATTTTCACTATGTTGGTTCTTCCTACCCATGAGCAAGGGATAGCTTTCCATTTTCTGATATCTTCTTCAATCTCCTTTTTCAGAGTACTATAATTTTCAATGTATAATCTTATACTTCCTTTGTTAGATTGAATGCTATTGATTTTTGAGTGTTGATTTTGTATCCAGCTACACTACTGAATTTGGTTATTAAATCTATAAGTCTCTTGGTGGAGTTTTTGGGGTCTTCTATAAAGAGTATCATGCCATCTGCAAATAATGATAATTTAACTAACTAATGATGATTTAACTAACTAAACTAAAATTGAAATGGATGGAAGATCTAGATATTAAAACAGAGACACTAAATCTGCTGGAAGAGAGAATAGGCAGAACTCCTGCAGATGTAATGCAGGCAGAGATTTCATGAACAAAAACCTGATCACATGGTAAATAATACAAAGAATAATAACTGGGATCTCATTCTATTAAAACCTTTGCAAAACAAAAAAAAACAACAAAAAAAGGAAGAAAAAAACCAAAAAAGGGGAAAAAATTCAGCCAGTTGTCCTTCAGACAAAAGACTTATAAAAAAATCAGACCCCCCAAATATAAACACCTGATCCAAAAAGTGGGCATCTGAGATGAATATGCACTTCTCAGATGAGGAAATACAAATGGCAAATAAACGTATGGAAAAGGTTCAACATGGCTGGTTATTAGAGAGATGCAAATTAAAACAGTGAATCTGAGATTCCATCTCACTCTAGAAAGAATGGCTATTATCAAGAAATCAACCAATAACAAGTGCTGGAGGGAAAAGGAACCCTTTTCTACTGCTAGTTTAACGTAGACTGGTGCAAACACTGAAGAAATCAGTATGGAGATTCCCCCCCCCAAAAAAACAACCTAGGATTGAAGGTCCCATTCAACCCAGATATTCCTCTTCTGGGTGTCTTCCCAGAAGAATTAAAAATACCACACCACAGTGATATATGTGTACCCTTGTTTATAGTAACATAATTTGTAATAGCCAAATCTTGGAAACAACTCAAATGCCCATCAATGAGGAATGGATAAAAAAAGATGTGGGCTTTTTTTATATACAATGGAGTACTACTCTGCCATAAAGAAGGATAAACTTGAGACATTTGTAGGTAAATGGATGCAAACTGAGACCATTCTCTTAAGTGAAATAAATCAAACTCACATGTGTAAACATCACATTGTTTCCTTGGTGTGAGAAACTCAAAGTGTAAATAAGGTCCAAAACATACAACAGATATTGTGAAATGGGAAGAAATTGTTCAAAAGGAAAGAGGAATGAGGGTGGGGGAACAGGAGAAGGAAGGAAGGAAGAAATGATAAGAAAAAGGATAAAATGGAGACAAAGCTTTGTAAATAGGGAGGGGAAGAGGGCTTGCAGCAAGGAGAGAGGATTGGTAATAAAGGAGGAATCAAAATATGTCATGTGTCATTGTGTATATCTAAAATGTACCAATAAGCTTAATTAGAAAAAAGAAATTGAAAAGATAACCTGCAGAATAGAAAAAATTTAAACTCTTCATCTCTTAAGGAACTGTGTATTTTAAACACACTGGTACCTGGGTTCATGAACTTAACTTGTTCCAGTTCTGGGGAAGAGCACCACGGTGACGGTCATCACCTGATGTGCAGTTCACGAACAGAAGCAAAATTCTGCTGAGTGGTTCTCTTCGTGAACCAAATATTTTGGGAACAGAAGTGTTTATAAACTGAAGTATTGCTGTATATGATTATTTATTACATACTATAAGCATATATATTTACATATGTGTATATATACACGTACATATTTAAAACATATAAAGGACTTTTAGGACTCAATTATGAAGAGACAGATGACATCTTAATGGGCAGGGGATCTTCACAGATACTTCCCCAGAGAATATGTACCGGTGGCCCTGAATGCATCAGAAAATATTTGCCATCACTAGCCGTCAGGGAAGTGCAAACAAAAGCCGCTCTCCGCACTCACACTGGGATGGCTGGAATTGAATAGACAGACGGCAGCCAAGACCCTCGTGCACTGCTGGCGCTGGTGACGCCTTTGGGAAACGCGGTGGCCGTTCCTGAAAAGGTTAACTGTGGATCACTTTATGACCTGCATTCTATCTCTGGGTGCATTGCGCCCCATATGTGTCCACACAAAGACTGCCACACAGGCGTTCGTAGCAGGCCAAACTTTGAAACCATCTCAGACGCCCAGCAGCTGATGAGCCGGACGGGGTGCACGCGCACCCTGGAGTAGTGTCCGGCAGGGAGACGGGAAGTGCTGATGTGCGTGGCCATGTGGCTGAGCCTGGGAATGGTGCTGCGTGAAGGAGGCCGGATGGGCCACGCTTTGTGTGGTTTCCTTTATCCCTGTGTCCAGAGGAGGCCAGTCCATCGAGACGGAGAGCAGATCAGCCCTGCGAAAGGCGCTAGTGAGGGGCTTGCTGCGGTGTGGAGCGCTTCTTCAGGCGCTGGTGGAAAGCTAGCTGTAAGGTTGGCTGTGGGACCGGCGTGCAGCTCCGTGGTGGAGCACGGCCTCGAGTTCAGTCCTCCACACAAAAGGAAAAAACCACAGTAACAGCCGCACAGCTGTGGGTGTACTTACAAACCGTCGAGTATGCACTTCGGGTAACTTGTATGGTGCAGAAAGTTACATCTCCGTAAAATTGTTACAGTAAGTAAAACCTTAAAAATAAAATTGTCAATGTGTGTAATTATAATATGATTAGCATTTCATATTATAGCTCTTCACACCTAGAGAAGCAGTGCTTTTAGACAAGGCCAAAATGTCCCTGAGTGTCACCTTGGAGGTAGATTTTTCCTGGATAAATGATGGGTAATCTGGCACCCAAAGGAACCTGCTCGTGGGAGGTCGGGCTGTCCACACCCGTTGACACACGCAGGCCCCATAAGCACACACCAGTACACACACGTATCAGACGTGTGCGTAAAGCTTAGCTTGATTTTCCCTTAGCTGCAGGCTGTTCTTCCCTGTGGATTACAAGGGGCTGCAGGACTCCTTCCGACTCTGTACCGTGAGCTTTGTTTGGGCTACCATGTGGCTTTTAGAAAGGTGCGTTCAAAAAAATCATGAGTCTGTTACGCTTTTCTCCTCGCTCAGCCGGCTTCGCCAGCTCTGGAGGCGTGGCAGCACTGTCTTCCACTTCAGTGTGCCCCTGTTGACTTGCAGCTTTCCGGCGAGGACCCTGAAGTTTTTGAGGTCTCCTCCAAGTGCCTGTCCATCCTGGTTCAGCTGTACGGAGGGGAGATCCCGGACAGCCTGTCCCCGGAGAACGCCGACAGCTTTGCTCGCGTGCTGGCCTCCCGGACGGACCCGAAGGACCAGAAGCTTCTGTTGCGGATCCTCAGGAGGATGGTGAGTCCCGTGGGTGCTGGTGCAGTGGGTGGCCACGTGGACGGGGGTGACCACATGGACGGGCGTGACCGTCGCTGGGACCTAGTTTGAAATTTGCAGAAAAGTTGTAAGAGCAACAGAACACAGTTGCTGTTCCCTGTGGTCACCCGCTGCTGACATGGGTCCGAGTCTGGCCACCTGCAGATGCACAGCTTCTTCCTCAGGCCTTTGAGAGCAAGTCCGGGAAACTGTGCCTCCAGACCCCTCAATGGATAAACATGCATTTCCTTAAGAAGGTACTCCCTTGCTCGCCTATAGTAATCAAGACTGGGGAACGTAACATGGACTCGGTTACTTCACTCTGCTGCTGTCCGGATTCTAGTTCTGCCCACTGTCCCAGGGACTCTGGGGCTGTCTTCCTGGTGTATGATGTAGTCTGAGGTTTCATACTTTAATATGGAATAGTGTCAGCCTTGCCCTTTCCTGCCTGATGTTGTGTGGAACACGGGCCACTGTCCTGCCGCGTCTGCCTCCTCCTTTCTCACTGCTGCTCCTCATCCTTAGACTCCTCCTGGCCCAGAGGTGATACTGATCCTTCTCCGGCCCGAGCCAGAGGCTCATGATGTGCGTTTGCCCCATAATAGTGATGCCGACTTTGATCACTTGTTTTAATCGATGTGCAGGTATTATTTTAATTTTGTCATGGTTGCAAAGTGGGTATTTCTGACACTCAATGTTTCTAACTCACAGCATTCGAGGGAAAATCTTTCCTTTCTGCCCAATTTCTTTCATTGTTTATTTTTAAAAAATGTCTGCGGCTGATATCTCTTTGACAGTGCTTTGAAGACTGGCTTATTTTCTCTCTCGAGTAAATCTGACGGCTGACTTTGAGGCCAGCTTGTGTTGAAGTTCACGCAGGAGGGGTCCTGTTGGTCACCTTCGGGTCTTTCGGTCAGTGTTCACAGAGCCCCTGTTACCTGGCCAGGTGGCGGCTGTAGGTGCGCCCTGGAGTTGCACTCAAAAGCACTTTGGCGTGAACGTGATAAGCGGACGGTGGAAACCTAGGTGACAAGTGGTGGGTGGCGGAATGGAAGGGAGGCGGAGCTCTTCTCCCGCCTCCCCTGGAGGTCTGCTTTTGAGCAGTCCCATCCCCTCCCAAACGAGACTCCCGTCTTGGTGGGGCCTCGCCTGCATGCTGGGGTGACAGCTTTGTCTGGGGGGGGTTTCCTGGATAGACACTTCCAGGTCAGTGGGTTTTGAGGTGGGATGACATGAGTCAGCGGGGTGGTGATTATTTTCTTCCCAGGGCTCTTTCCGGCTTTCAGACAGTCCCAGTTTGGTAGTGCTTCAGCACCTGTCTAGCTCTACAGAACCCCACTTCCTGACAGAGCAGTTCTCCAGACTCCCGATGTTCACAGTACAGATAGGACAGTTTTAAAAACACTCATTATTTAAGGAACAAAGGTGAGTCAGTCTGAGGGCAAGTGTGGTATTCCCTCCTTCTCCAGCAGGGATGTGCCCAGGGCACTCCTAACATCAGATAATGCTGAACCCTACCTGTGCTGTCTTCTCCGTATATACACAGCTACAGTGAAGTTCACTTTATAAATTAGGCATGGTAAGAGACTAACAACAGTAAAATATAACTGTTACAATACACTGTGATAAAATGAGTGTGATCTGTCTCAAAATACAGTGGCACCTCAGTTCATGAACTTGATTCTTTGCATGATCCTGGTCCAGAATTCATTCTATAATTCTGGTTGCAACCGAATCGCAAGCATGTATACCGAGGCACCACTGTATCATACTGCACTGTGTCCACTTTCTTGTGCTGATGTGAAATGCTACCTAAAGGAAGCGCGTTGTGGCTTCTCTTTGGCATATCTGAATTGCCAGTGTCATGATTCTGGTGCTGTGGACCATGTGTTGGTCCGCTTTCTGCTGTTGGGACAATATGCCCAACACCCACAGCATAAAGGAGCAGAGGGTTATTCGGCTCACGGGTTCAGAGGTCTCGGTCCACGGCAGGCGCTCCGAGGCAGGGTGGAGGGGCGTAGCGGAGGAAAGCTGCCTACTTGAAGGCACAGGGAAGCAGAGCTTAGGGAAAGAGCTAGAAATGAAGAAGCCAGGGACTGGATGTAATCCCAAAGGTCCTGTCCCCATGACCCACTTCCTGCAGGTGGGCCACACCTCCCAACAGCCCATGCGCTAGGAACTCATCTCTGGATCCAGCCAAGGTGTCAGTTAAGATTAACCAGCACAGGCACAATTCAACAAAATAAAAGTTCCCTGGACACAAGCCCTGCAGTCCTGTGACTGTCAAGGGTCACAGTTGGATGGCATCTGCGATGTGGAGAGGGCAGACGGGTGGTCACAGCCCATGCCAAGGCATGGGCTTTCATCGTGCTTCTCGGAGCAAACACTGTGCACTTTAAGTCGGGTGAATTTCTTGTTTCTGGAATTTCCACCTAATATTTTGGGCCGCAGTTGACCATGGGTAACAAACTGCAAGAAGCAGAACTGCAGACAGGGAAAGTGCTGGGGGAGAGAACATGGTAACACAGGCGATGTGCAGATGTGGAGAGTGGTTAATGTGGCAGAGAATGACAAGAGATTTGGAAATGGTGGTCTAATATCTGACCTGGCTGAGTCTGTGAAGATCTGCAGTTCCTTCTTCGGAAGTCTGGGGCCAGGTTTATTTTGGAACTCAGAATTTTCAGAGCTTTTAGCAAAATGCCGACGTGGTACATTGTGGACGCTCACAGGAGAGTCGCAGGTGATGACGGCGTCAAGCACAGTGGTCTCTGTGCAGAGACACAATGTTCGTGCCGAGCGGAGAGAACACAGCCAAGGCCGCGCTCGGGCCCACGGGGTCCAGCTCAGAGTTTACCGCCATGCATGTTTGAGCAGAACCTTTAATTTTTTTTTCAGAGCTTTCTAGATTTTAGACCTGCAGGAAGGAGATGATGGACCTGTCTTTGGCAGTAAATTACATATTTTCCTAAAACATTGAGTAAATTAATCATGCAAAAAACAAGGACCAGGGACTTTTTTATAGAAGAAACGCTGGTAAGTGGCTTGTACTTGCAGGTGCGGAAGCAGAGGAGATCTTTGTGATGCTTGTTCTTTCTGGCTTTTATTGTGGTAAAATGTATATCACATAAATTCTGACCATTTTATGCCCACAAGCCATTGCATTAAGGACACTAATTCTGTGAATCTTCACCACCATCCAGCTCCAGAATTCATTCATCAGCCAGGTGTGGTGGTGCATGCCTATAATCCCAGTACTCGGGAGGCTGAGGCAGGAGGATCGTTGTGAGTTCGAGACCAGCCTGGGCTACAAAGTGATTTCAAGGTCATCCTGAACTGCATAATGAGACCCTGTCTCAAAAAGATGAAACATAAAACAACAGCAACAACACAACAAAAACCAGAATTCATTCATCTGTCCTACCGGGAGCTCTGTCCCCACTGAACACAGACTTCCTGCCCCCCCCCCCAAAAAAAATCTGTTCTCCGTTTTCTGTCTCCATGATCTTGATGACTCTGAAGTGTCCTATCCTGCAGTACTTGTTCTTTTGTGTGTGGCTTGATGCACTTCTTGTGGTATCTTTACGTTCATCCACATGGAAGCCTGTGTCCGGATTTCACTCTGTCTTCAGGATGGGCAGTGTTCCATTGTGTGTGTGCATTTTCACAGCTCTGTGCATCCACGATGGACGTGTAGGTGCTTTTACCTTTTTGGCTTCCGTTACTTTTTCTCTTATCCCTGTGTTACTATCAGAATTGACCTATGGATTCTGTTTTGGTGCAGTGGGTTACAGCCCCAGGTGTGGCCATGGGAACGCTCTCTGGATGGCCACCGCCTGGCTCTGACCCGCTCTTCTTCTGGTGCTTGACATTTCTGTTTGACATCCCAGTTTTATGACAATGACTTTCTAAAACCATCGTTTTCGCCAGCAAGCTAAAGAATTAAAGGGTGTTTAATCTCTGATGATGGAGTTGGCATGTTTGGCTCCTAGAGTCCTCTTCTTAGAACTCTGAGCGAAAGTTGGGAAAATCTGAAGGCTTAATTACCCCCTGGGATTTACAGGAACTTGGGAAGTTTTATGATTAATTGTACTTCATGCTTCAGCTTTAAAAGTGTGACAGAAGCCGCTCAGATTCGCCTTCAGCTTGGTGTGCCTGGTTTCCGGGTTAGATTAGCGCCCGTCTCTTCATCAGCACCAGCTTATCCCAGCGCTCGAGCTCCTAGCTGCGCAGGGGCCGCCACCGACCCTTTCCGTGCAGAGTTGGCTGACTGCCCTCCTGTTGCCCTCTGCCCACCCGACCCTGTGCAGTGGGGGTGCGGGCCTGTAGGGGGGACAGCTCTGGAGACGATTGATGTCAGATAGGGATCCCCACACGCCGTTCTCAGAGGCTGCACCCCAGGCCTGCAGGAGCCCCCTGCGCCGCCCCGAACCTTCCCACTCATGGGGCCTTTCTCGTTCCTCAGGAGCGACGCCTGCTGCTCTGAAAGTGCCCACAGCGGAGCATTTCTCCACGCAGACCTTAGCGCTGTGGAGACCAGGTGGAGAGCCTGGGAAATCTGCCGCCACCGCTGTCCTCGTCAGGACCGGGGGATTTAGAGAAGTTAGGCTCTGAAGGGACCTAATTTCTACTAGAGAACTAAGGAAATAAGCTTTGAGGCATAGCAAAAAGGGAATGATGTCTGTCTCCCTTATATCTTATCTTTCTTATGTGTAATGCCTTCCATTCTTATTTATTTTCTAAAAGGAAAAATTGGGGATGGTATGAAGCCAGTGAGTTATTTTTTTCTTCTTGGTTTTTTTGAGATAAGTTCTCAATGTGTAGTTTAGGCTGGTCTTGAACACACAGTGATCATCTCGCCTCAGACTGCTCAGTGCTGGGATTACGGGTGTGCGCCCCCACACCCAGCAAATCCAGTGAAAGTTTTAAGAGAAATACTGTGTTCCAGATTAGTAGGAAGCAAGTGCAATCAGTGTTGCAGAATGTGATCCCTGAGGAGATCATTTCCCTGGGACTCTGAGAGACCCTGAGCAAGCTTTCTTCGAATTCATCCACGAAAACCATTCGTGGCTGCACCAGATAAGCACTGTGTCTTGGTTACTTTTCTCTCGTTGCTGGGACAAAATACCTGACGCCCAAAATGAAGGAAGGAAAGGTTTATTTTGCTTACAGTTTGTGGAGGTTTCAGTCCAGACTTGGCAGATTACAAGGCAGAGTGGCACATGGCAAAGAGCTACAGCTCAGGGTGGCAGAACACAGC